AGTTCCAATTTCTGGTAGCAATCCCTGACTACTAGTCTACATTTTCCTAGGTTTGTGGTTGTAGGTTATGTTTATTATTATTTGGATTTCTTGTTATAAAACGGGAACAAAATGCAACCAGGAAACTCCAAAGAAATATTATGCAGACTGTGTCTTAATATTATTACCGAAAGAAGCTGCGAAATAATAGGAGAAGGCGTAAGGAAGGTTTTGAAAGTACTTATGCCGAGTGTGGTAAGATCAAATTGTTAATACTATTTTTACGTGTAGCATTTTGCTATCTTTAATTTTGAAAATATTGCAGAATCTGGAGGAGAGAGATAATCATGCAATATGTAAAGCATGCAGTGTAAAATTATTGGCGGCCTTTAATTTTAAATCAACATGTATGGATACGGAGGGCATTATTGTTCCTTATGTTATCTCCACCAAATATTCAACGGTTGACTTAAAAGAAGTTTATCTAAAGGAGAAAGGAAACATTCACTTAATCGATATATCAGAAAATCATAGGATTTGTCGATTATGTATTCAGTTGGTGACATATGGATTTGTGTCACTAAATGAAGTGGATGTTGACATAATCAACGCATGTATACCAGAAGTTGTAAGTATTTTTCAAAGTGCTTAGGAAAGTATTTTTATGTCAGTAAAGGGTTGTTTCCATAAGTGAACGTGTATGAAAAATTTGTAAAAACATAACATTCTTATACATTCCTCCTAACAGTATTAAAGTGGAAAATGATTTGTTGTTCAAGCTACATAATTAGAAACTGACATTAAGTTTGTACTGGCAATTCTGTCATGTCTTAAGTTGTTAAGTAGTAGAGTTTAGTCACTTAACATGTTCGATGCCAATGGACACATTATAAGTGCCCAGACAATTTATGCGTGAGTACCATAGGTGCTTTAAAGAGCCCGGAAGCATATTATTCAATCTGACACAGCACCTACATTTATATGCATATACTGGCGTTTGAGTAAAGTATTTTTAACACTTTTAACATAAATGTGAGTTCGTGATCTAGGTGACATGAGGGTGAAATGCATCAGCATTGAACGTGTTAAGTGTAAATATACAATGTACAGGAATTAACTGTAATGAAACTTGTAAAACATATATGACTATATTGAGGAATCGTAATTGTTTATGTTTTATCAGAATCAAAATCAATTGTTACAGTTGCAAAAAAAAGTGAGTTTACTTTTAACAAACATTTTCACAAACTGTCCCTGAGAAGCTAAAATATTAATCAAGGTAGTCAATGTTAAGCTGAGGTCATTTGTTTTTTTTTTTCTAAATAAGTACATCTATTTTTTTACAATATTGAAGACCGTGTCAGACTATCAAATTTTCATAAAATTTGTTTGATCGAAATAGTATAGACATCATTTAGGCGTCATGAATGAAAAATGAACAGGTAACAAAATATTGATCGAAAAAGTCAACTGGTAGCTTTTAGGGTCATTCTTAGAAAGACTTTTATTACTTTACTAATTTGGCCAAATCAGTTCTATCAGAATAGTTTGATAGTATGAAAGTTACTTTCGATGTTATCAAATTATTTTGATCAAACAAATTTAATGCAAATTTGATATTGCAACATGGGTTTAAGACTGTTTCTTCGGCATATTTTAAATCGTTATTTGATTATTCTTCGTCTCTTAAAAGATAGTATTTTGTAGAACGTCACAGCTACTATGGATCCCATTATATGTAATCCGTGTTTTGATTCACTGCGTACTCATGGCGGGTTTTTAAAGAATTGCCTTGATGCACAGGAAAATTATAAAAATGCAGATGAGCAGTCTTGTATTAAAACTGAAGAAATTGAAGTAAAACTGGAAGACGGTCACGGTATACAGGAGAAACATAAAAATGTCGAGCAATTTTATGTTAAAACTGAAAAGATTGAAATAAAATTGGAAGTAGATAGTCAGGGTCCGCAAGAGAACTATAAATGTGTTGAAAACCAGTGTTACATTAAATGTGAAGATGTTGCAATAAAATTAGAGGCTCAAGATTGGTAAGAAAATGTCAATATAATTTTGAAATTTTCAAATTTATTGCACTACCACTGATAAAGTAAAATTTGAAGAACAGCTGATATAAACTAATTTTAGTGTTTTTTATGTAAAAAAAGCAATTAACTTGAAAAAGTTTTATATTTCTCAAACACTGATTTATAATGTTTACTGCAATATGAATATTTAATTTTTTTTAGTGATTCATTTGACTTATATGATGAATCGGTTGAGAGCGAAAAGAAGTGCACCTCAGAAGATTTAGGAGAAACAAAGACTAAATGTGTGCTTAAATATGAGACAGGATTAAATGAAAACTGTACAGCATCGATGTTTGGTTACAACATCGAAGTATCCAAAAATGAAAAGTCTAGATTCCAAAAATGTGACCCTTTATTAGAGAAGCGATTCCATCAATGTGATAAATGTAAATATAAAACTAAACTTAAAGCTAATCTAAAAAGGCATCGGTTAATGCACGAAAATCCTTCAGTACAAACCGAGGTACAAACTTACAGGTGTGATAGGTGCAACTATGAAACTAAACTGAAGTATCGTTTAAAAATGCATCAGTTATCACACATGGACCCTTCAGAAATCCAAATGTACAAGTGTGATACTTGCGATTTTGAAACCAAATATAAGGCTCATCTAAAAGTGCATCAGATAACGCACAAAGAACCTTCGGAAATCCAAATGTACAAGTGTGATACATGTAGTTATGAAGCTAAATATAAGAGTAATTTAAACAGTCATCAGCTGATGCATAAAGATCCTACGGAAATACAAATGTGGAAGTGCGATACTTGTGGTTTTGAAACTAAACTCAAGAGTCAGTTGAAAAGACATCAGTTATCACACAAAGACCCTTCGGAAATCCAAATGTACAAGTGTGATACATGTAGTTATGAAGCTAAACATAAAAGTCATCTGAAAAGGCACCAGTTATTGCACAAAGACCCTTCGGAAATACAGATGTGGAAATGTGATACGTGTAATTTCGAAACTAAATACAAGAGTCAATTGAAAAGACATCACTTATCACATGAAAACCCTTCAGAAATCCAAATGTACAAATGCGACTCTTGTACCTATGAAACTAAGTATAAGTACGCTTTAGACAGACATCAGATAATGCACAAAAATATTTCAAAAATTCAAATGTACAAATGTGATACTTGTGTCTATGCAACTAAATATAAGAGTGGTCTAAAAGTGCATCAACTAATGCACAAAGACACTTCGAAGATTGGAAAGTTCAAGTGTGACTCGTGTAGCTATGAAACTAAGTATAGAAACAATTTGAGATCACATCAATTGTTGCACAAAGATTCTTCAGAAATTGAAATGTACAAATGTGATATGTGCGATTATAAAGCTAAGTATAAAAAATATCTAAAAGATCATCAGTTAACGCATAAAGGCCCTTCGGAAATCAAAATGTACAAATGTGATACATGTACTTTTGAAACTAAGTTCAGAAGGAGCTTAAAATTGCATCAATTAATACACAAAGATTCTTCAGAAATTGAAATGTACAAATGTGATTCTTGTACTTATGTAACAAAACATAAGACTTATCTGAGGGTGCATCAATTAACACACAAGGATTCCTTAGAAGTCCAAACACAAGTTTGATAAGTGTTATGAAACTAATTTTAAAACTTTAAAATTACACAAATGAAATGCATTGACTGAAAACCTGACTATACAAAAACGAAATCTATTCTTTTTGTATTCATTTCTGAAAACACAAAGGCAACATGACCAATTTGAAGAAGACATTGAATGACATTTTGAAGAATTTGGCTAAGAGTGACCTCTTCTCATTGGGAATTATTAACTATTAATTATAACAAAGCATATTACTTACCTCTAATCTCAAGTTAACGTAATTTATATTTCAACAATCAGATCAGTCTTACGATAGGTATATAACTACGATTTAATATAAAGCAATTATATTGTTTGTCCTGTCTTATTCGAATAAAGAAATGTGTGAAAAATATCGAAAGTTATTGGACATAAGTCATTATAAAACAGTTTAATTTTATTCTAAATTACTAAAAGAAGTTAAGGACTTTAAAAATATAAATGTAAGGGTATAATTAAAAAGTGGATTATGTAAAGGGACCTATTTACACTAAAAAATATACAGGGTGTTTTCAAAAGAAGCAGCACAATTGGTACCGGTGAATCTAAATAAAAAACAAGTTTTGCATAAAAATGATTTTAGTAAAATGTTAGGATATACAGCCTCAAAGTTTTCAGAAAAATGTAATAGAATTAAAAAACAAAAAAAGGTATAATGGTCAAATTTTACACAAATTTCCTACTAATGCATGTGCAACTTCTCAACATTTTTCGAACATTTCTGGAGGGGGTTGAAATAAGCATCGCCTAGTTATTTTTTGCTACAACTCTTGTTTGAAGAAAATTGAATATTCAAAAATACTCGTCAGGTAGCCTGGTTTATTTTAAAATTTTTCCGTCCATTTTTTTGCTTTAAAACTTGTTACTGTTTATTAACAAAAAATTAAATTCATTCGTTCGCATTACAAATAGCATGATTGCAACTAAGAAATATTTAAGTAGGGGCTGTCATGCTAATTTCTGTCATTAGATTTGGATGCCTCCAGTGGTACATTCTTCTTGCTGCGGCACAGTTTTTCCGACATTCAAAAAATCCTTACAGCATGTCAGCATATTTATCATTAGTAAAATTATTTGCCATAATTCTTCCCAAGTTATTTTAAAAGGTATAAAATTATTAAGTGGTAAATACGTAAATATTTAGTTGCAATCGTGGAAATCATAATGAATTTAATTTGTTTGTTAATAAATGGTTAGTTTTAAAGCAAAAAAGCGAGTGAGGTAAAAGTTTTAAAATAAACGAGGCTATCCGATATGTCTTTTTGAATATTGAATTTTTGTCAAACAAAAAAGTTGTAGAGAAAAGTAACTTAGGTGATGCTTATTTCAACCCCTTCCAAGGGGCAGGTATATTCAAAAAAATTGTTGAGAAGTTGCACATGCACTAATAGAAAATTTGTGTAAAAGGAACTTCCTCTCATAAAATTGTTCTTTATTAAACATCACCAAAATCCATTTAAATTATTTAATTTAAATAAGTTAACAAAAATAATGCAGAACATAATGTTACAAGATATTAGAGCGAGGTTTAAATTTATTAAACTTCCAATTCTCACGGCTTAAGTATAATAAGTGTTACTTAAATCAGTTTAAGGATGGTTTATCAAACGGCACAATTCAATTTTCAGTTTAAGTACGGCTCATTTCAAAACAGAAATTAGTTTTATCGGTGCAAACGGACCTGATTCTTCTTAAAGCATTGATATTACATTTTTTGTATTAATAGTATAACTAAAATATTTTAATTCTTAAGGTTGTTAAGTTTACATTTAATTCTGTACGTTTGCTATGAATCTATAGGAGCTATGTTTGCTTTAATTTTTAATGTATTTTAAATCTGATGTATTAGAAACATTGTTATGTGAAATAAATTTACTTGTGATATATACAAGGTGTATACCAACATGGAAAACCTGAAATGATTAGAGAATTTCATAGATTTGGAAATGTCAGAGAAATATCAACAAATTAGGTACCTTTTTACAAAATTATTTCAAATTTCAATTGTCATCGGTCTTCAATTAGATGTTGCCAGTAGATGTCACATTACTGAAAAATAAAGTAAATTTACTACTACTACTACTCCTACTAATTTATGGCATCTACCTCTATCTACCTCTGTCTCTTATATTTATTGGTCATTAAGAATTAATTTACAATTTTCTAATATTTCCTCGTCAGTTATTTTAGTCTAATTGAGTCAACACTTCAATCGATATAATATTAACGCTGCACAACGGGGATTTTGGAAACCATTGAAAATACAAAAAAGGACCTTTAAATATTCTGTATGATATAATAATTCTAATATTTTTTTTTATAATTTGGCATGGACACAAAAAAAAATAAATTAATAAAAGGTCGTTAAAGGCAAATATCCATACTATCACGAACTGCTTCTGCTCTTTGGTGCGTTAAACATAAACAAAAATTAAATCATTTAAATAAGATAAACTACCTAAGAAGCAGACGCGGATCCAAGGAGAGTGGGGGGCGATGGTGGCGATTCCCCCCAAATAGTCCGAAAAAAAAATTTAAGATGAAACAGAATAAATTAATAAAGATTAAACATGTCTCAGTTTTCTTGACTGCATAACCTTTTTTTTAGTAAGATAAATTAATAAAGATTAAAAATTGTCTGTTTAAACATGTATCTCAGTTTTCTTGATTCCATAACTTTCTTTTTATGTACAAACGCCCCCCAAAAGTCCATCTCTGGATCCGCCCCGTCATAAACACCCTCAAATTTGTCTATAGTAATATAGCAGTAATTNAAATGACATACTTGAAATCTTGTCGCTAATCTAGAAGTACTGATACTAGGATCATCTCCACGGTGTTTAAAATTCCTGGTTTTAAGGTTCTCACTCTTTGGGTTTGTTCCTATCCAACATTAACGTTCAAGCTTCTATAATCTTTTAAGGTTGGACTAATTTTAGAAATATTTTCTTATTCGGTTGTTATTGATCGGGATGATTCATCTAGATATCGCCTTCTTGCACCAGCATCATTATTTCCTGTCAAAAACCATTTCATCTCTCTCCAAATTTGTATAGATACTTTTTCATAATATATCACAGAAACTTGTAAATAAAAACATAAAAATACATAATAATTTTTATTATAACTTTTGTCAAAAAAAAAACAAAGTCAGGCTATTTGATATACAGGGTATCCCAGAATAACGTGTACAGCGGAAGACCACAGATTCGTGGATTCAAAATAGGCAGATTTAGGCTAATTCACCTATATCCGAAATCGCTTCGTTTGACCGTTAGATGGCCTCAAAGTTCGTGAAATTTGTTTGAATTTTATAAATAACTCGAATACGTATTAATCGATTTTGTTTATTTATGGAGTGTGGACTTTTGTTTTCAATCTATACATTTTGGTGTTATACGAGTACAGAGTGTTTTTTAAAACTTACAACTCCTACAAAATTTTTTTTAATTTATTCCATTTGGCGGTTCCACACTGTTATTATAGGTATATATTTTTATAAATTGCCATACAACAGTATCAAACCTATGTCAATAATTCAATGTAGGGGTTTACTAAAATTAACTCGTGATCTAGATATAAATCATATTCTCTTTTCAAAACTACATCAGGCACAGAAATTAAGGGATATTTAAAAAAATCCCAAATTTTGGGTGATTTTCAAAGAGCTGTAACTTGGAGGGAAATGGTCGTAGAGAGACTCAAAAAAAGGAAATTGAAGCTTCAAGTGTAGTTTTCAGATCCGCAGTTTAAACATTTTTAGCGTCAGCAGTTTTTGAATAATCATAAGAAAATCAACGGAAAAAAAATTGTAAATTTTTGCTTTTTTAAAAAGGCCTATTGACTTAAAAAAATTTGTTTTGGAGATTTCATCATAAAGCTCTTTTAGATAATTTAATTCTCTTCAATCTGAGCGGTTCCGGAGCCTTGTACGATTATTTGTCACTGAGCTATCGAAGATCAAAAAAAAAAACAACTTTTTTGACTGGCAATCAATTACTCGGGAAATAATGATCGTACAGAAATCCAAGCAGGGTTTTTAAAACTGCAAAGTATTCTCTACAAGTCGTAATTATGGACTTTTGATAAAAAAAAAATTCAAAGTGAAAAAGTGAAAATGTTAGAAAAAAGGTAAAAAATTGCATAATTAGGGATATGTGAATAACTTGGCATAATTTTGCAAATAATGAATAAACTAAGGATATTGACTGTAACTTTTCAACCTCAAAGTGTTCTAAAGAAACCCTAATTTCAAAACGCTGCGATTTTTTTTCTTAGTGCCCGGAATATTTAAACTTGTTTTTGCTGAAAATCGATGTAATTTTTCACCTTTTATTCATTTTTTTAAGTCAAAAATGTTTTTTAGCAATAATCCATATTTCCTTTATCAAAAACCGTTCATGATTCTAAAAAAAAAAAATTAAAAAAATTCAAAATTTTTTTTAACATATCTACAAGATTCACAAACTTCAAAAAACATTTGGGCAGATCACAATTTAATATCAGGTATTGCCGCCTCTGTTCCTGATCATCGATTCTAAGCGGTCTCGCCTATTAATGCACCGCCAGATGCCTCGTTGCGTAATTCCTTGACAAGTTTGTAAAAGAGCCCGGGTCAATTGATGGTGATTTTGTAATTGCAGATAAATTCGTCGTCATCGACGCCCGAGCATAGAATATCCTGGTAGTTAGGATATTCTGTGGTCCGAGCATGTTCTAAACATGCCCAATGGGGTTCAAGTCGGGACTCGTAGGTGGGTGGTTGAGAGTTAGCACATTGTTGGCGTGAAGAAACGTACGCTTTGCGTATGAAGATGAGCATTATCCTGTATGAGAATGAAGCAATTCCCCATGCTTGTAAGCATGGGCAGACGTGTGGTNATGTGAATAACTTGGCATAATTTTGCAAATAATGAATAAACTAAGGATATTGACTGTAACTTTTCAACCTCAAAGTGTTCTAAAGAAACCCTAATTTCAAAACGCTGCGATTTTTTTTCTTAGTGCCCGGAATATTTAAACTTGTTTTTGCTGAAAATCGATGTAATTTTTCACCTTTTATTCATTTTTTTAAGTCAAAAATGTTTTTTAGCAATAATCCATATTTCCTTTATCAAAAACCGTTCATGATTCTAAAAAAAAAAAATTAAAAAAATTCAAAATTTTTTTTAACATATCTACAAGATTCACAAACTTCAAAAAACATTTGGGCAGATCACAATTTAATATCAGGTATTGCCGCCTCTGTTCCTGATCATCGATTCTAAGCGGTCTCGCCTATTAATGCACCGCCAGATGCCTCGTTGCGTAATTCCTTGACAAGTTTGTAAAAGAGCCCGGGTCAATTGATGGTGATTTTGTAATTGCAGATAAATTCGTCGTCATCGACGCCCGAGCACAGAATATCCTGGTAGTTAGGATATTCTGTGGCCCGAGCATGTTCTAAACATGCCCAATGGGGTTCAAGTCGGGACTCGTAGGTGGGTGGTTGAGAGTTAGCACATTGTTGGCGTGAAGAAACGTACGCTTTGCGTATGAAGATGAGCATTATCCTGTATGAGAATGAAGCGATTCCCCATGCTTGCATGCTTGTAAGCATGGGCAGACGTGTGGTGTACCTTTCGGCAGTCAATAATGGGAACGACGGTATCATTTATCTAGGGGGAATGATTACCATCTGAGTTCTGGTATTAATGGATACGCCTGCCCATACCATAACTGAACCGTCATTAAAAGTCGTAACTAGCCGCGTAAAATTATCGGTATCACGTTCCCCACGACGACGCCGTACGAGAGATCGTCTGTCGTTGCCATCTATACCGTTAAATGCCCAAATATCCACCCAATACGAAGGGTCTTCCGCCCACAATCCAATATTTCTGGATCTGGGGCGAAGACAGAGATATGAAGGCACCTTCACGAGGAGGTTCACTGACTGGGAGCGTTTCCGAACAGTAATGCAAGGAAACATGGCGCTCCCAGTCATCGAAACCACCCATGATCTGGAGGCGGCAATCCTCTCCCTTGAGACTGACATTAAAAACGCCCTGACTCAGACTACGACGGAGACTATTGTCCCCCGACTGACAAACCCCCGGGGCACCCTCCCCGATGACATAAAAAACTTAATACGTGACAGACGACGTGCGAAACGGCTTGCCACCCGCACCCGCCTCCCCCGACACAGACATGACTTAAACGTACTTAACAGACGGGTGAAGGCGGCTCTGGATGAACTGGCCCAGGATAACTGGGCTAGGCACCTGGAGTCGCTGGATCCACAAGACAACAGCCTCTGGAAAACGCAGAGGGCCCTGCGACAGACCGCTCGCCGTAAAATTCCTCCAATCCACGGTAGTGTGGGGGTGGTTTACACGAACCAGGAAAAGGCCGAGGCTTTCGCCGATAGCCTGGAACTGCAGTGTAGACTGCCTCAGCTGCCCGACGAAGACGAGGAATTCGAGATAGTGGCTGAGCGCGCGGCCCGACGCGTCGACAGAGAGCCAGACAATGACATAATCCCCCCCGCAACACCTGACGAACTAAGACTGACAATACGCAGACTTAAAAACAGAAAAGCCCCCGGACCCGACAATATACATAACACGACACTTAAACGACTACCACACAAGGGCCTCATGGCCCTACTAAACATAACAAACGCGACACTCAGACTAAGACACTTCCCTACCCGCTGGAAAACAGCAAACATAATCCTTATCCCAAAACCCAACAAAGATCACACCATCCCATCCAACTACCGGCCCATTAGCCTGCTCCCGGCTATGAGCAAAGTGGTAGAAAAAATTATCCTAACCCGTCTAAGAACCCACTCCCAAGAACTGCAAGTCATTCCAGACGAGCAGTTCGCCTTCCGACCCAATCACTCCACTGAACTCCAAATCCTTCGCCTTACCGAGCACATCACGGCGGCCTTCAACAGGGGACAGTACACTGGTGCTGTCTTCCTGGACGTCGCAAAGGCCTTCGATACGGTTTGGCATGAAGGCCTACTGATGAAAATGCTCACCAACCAATATCCCATATCCTTTACCAAACTCATAAAATCCTACCTACACCACCGAAAATTCCGCATCCAAATCCAAGATTCCCTTTCCACCACCCGTCCCATGGAGGCCGGTGTCCCCCAGGGCACCGTCCTGTCCC